ATCTTCTTTGACAAGGTATTGTTCTTGTTCTCAGTAACTGTGATGGCCACTATTTCTGAAGAACAGATTCTGGGAACAGCTCCTCCCCTTGCCCACCATCAATGTACTTGTCTGAGTATCTGAAGAAGTACACAGAGCACACATCTGGGTTATAAAAGCCCTTTTATAAAGCCATTTTTAAACAAAACAAAAAAGTTTACAAAAGAAAAAAAAGATACAGAAAAAGAATAACTTGCTTTTTATGTCCCAAAAAAGAAGGGGGGAAAATAAAGGGACAATGCCAACATGCTCAACAATAAAGGGTTCTTATTTCTTTTTAATACAAAATACAAGCAAAGGATACACATACTTAAAACAGAGCTCAGGAGCAGACACGCAGTCCTGGGAACCCTTCAATAAAAGCAATGCAGGAGTTTGTTTTTCTCTTTTGACTATGCTGATACAGAGACTGGGATATGTAAAAATTAAGTATCACAAAAGACCATCACACAATTCTACCAATGCATGTTGCATCTATAATTCACGAACATGGTCAACAAAATCATGTTCATTTCAACCCTATTTAAATTAAAAACCCAAAACCTTTTAAATAAAAGTGGTTACATTCAAACTTCCACTTCTTTAGTGCCATGCTGCAGATTCCAGCACGATTAAGGGATTGCAAGAATGCCCAACCCTCTGGGATCCGACCATGTTTCCAGCATTAATGCCGTGTGAAGAAAGGGATGCCCTGGTCTCAGCTTATGCACTCATGAGTGCATGCGAGCTTCCTGCTCAGAATGGCAAACACGAACAATGAAAATTAAGGAAGACTGGGTAGGTAAAGCCAGCAAAATGAAAAGTCTGAAATACGAATCTCAAGGCAAACAATTATTGAGTCCTTGGCTGCTGCTTAGCCTGGCAAGTCCTAAAAGTCTTTTGCTTATATCTTGTAGGAATTAAGTCTAGTAAGGTTTGATGCAACATGTTCATGGTAAACAAACTAAGTAGAGCTCTTATTTACAAATTTTGTAACAAATACTTCTGGAGGAAAGAAAAGAAATTCACTAATTTCCAGAAGACAAAAATTTAATTGCCAGACATATACAAACACACACTCACACATACACACACACCCACACAATACTTCAGGGGGTTTTATACAGGTTATTTAGGGCATAAGCTGAGTACTATACCCCCACCCCATCAAAAAAAGGAACAAACAAAAAAAATCCCAACTTTACCCTCCCCCCATAATCTAGAAAACCCTTTTACCCGATGTACAAAGTGTATGCACAATGGTGGCATTCCACCAGCCACACAAAGCATGCTCAACAGATGTCACCAGTTCAGTCATTCCATTGGCATGGCAACAGGCAGGTTTATGGGATATTGTTTTCCCCCTCCCAATAGTGGTTAATACACAGCACCACTGTGAATTCGGCTTTGAAAAAAGCAGAAGTGTAATTTATGGATTTGAGATTAAAAAAGAAATCATTTTATCAAGTTTATCTCAAGGCAAAAGAAAACAGAAGAGATAAAAACTTTGTATGTATAGCCTGGAATCCAAAGGTTATTTCTAAAATCTCAACTACTCAATACATACAACTCCCTGTTTTCAAATCCAGCTTCATCCAGAGAGAGGAGGACAATTTTTTATACCTCAAGAGCAACCAGCTTGTCACATTTCCCCACCACTCAGGAGGAACTGTGCACTCCTCATTCTATTTGAGACTCTGAAGGCCAGTGCCATAAAGACTAAAGCCTAGGTTTCTTTTCTTTCCAAAGTCCCAAGGTGATAGGTTTTTTTCTCTCCTCAGTACAGCTACTCAAAATGCAGGATCAGAAAGAACCATTCAAAGCAGCACTCCTTTTCTACAGGGGCCACATAACCTCCAAGAAATCTTTCCCTACTGCTCCTTCTCTTGTCTTCCTAATCCCTGTAAAGACATTTCCTAAACTGAAGTTTGTTTAAAAGAAAGTACCATTTCTTTCTTGAACCAGGACTCTCATCCACGGTGCATGAATGCTCACGGAAAAAACCCTAAGAAAAATAGGTGTTAAGTTCATTCAGCTAACCTTATCAGTAAGTGCCAAAAAATCATGCTGGCTGTATTAATAGTATCAAAGACCACTACGATCAGTTATCTGTAAGAAAATACTATTAAAATCAAGCCAAACAATAAGTACTCAACTAACCTGGAGCAAATTTAAGTTGGTGTGAAGGAAAAAAAAATTGGTGGCAAAGCTTCCTTATGAGAAATCAGCTCTACTATAAGATGACAAGATTTTTACTTACCACCTCCCCAAAGCAGGAAACAATAGTTTCCCTTTATGGGATCCATATGCAGAAAAGCTAGGAAAGAAATAAATGTTTCTGAAAGCAGGACAATCTACCATTTCTAAAATGAGCTATCCCTTGGGCCCACACCATTGATTCTAAGCTGAGGTGGGAGGGGCTAAAGCAGCAGCAAGGCAGACACTAAAAAAATGAAGCCACTCATTTCTAGCACACTGAAGGAGTCCAGGGTGGGGGAGCCTTAAAATGAATGTAGTGTCAGTCAGCATAGCTGACAATTATGTTAGAGGTAAACCTAATGGAGCTAACAGAATTCAGAGAACACGCACAGGCACCTTCCAAGTTCATGTCCCATCTCCTGAGCACTGCAAAGCATGACAGTGAATGCTATTGCCATTTCACCACAGGCACACTGGAAAGAAAAAGGACATTCAGTCAAGGGTGGAGCCAACAGCCAGCCCATACCAGCTCACAGCTTGTGTCACAGTGACATCACTACCAAGCCTGACTACAGAGCACCTGTATTTCCAGTTGAGTTGCCACAACTGTCCTATTTCATGTAATGATTTAAGGGGAAGACTTAAAGTGTCTTAAGTCATCAATATAAAAGTGAGAAAGACAAAGGTCATTCAGAGCCTGCTCCACTTGAGTGTCACAGATCCTTCCATCCAGTCTGAGAAACTTAGAATACATTTTCAATCAAATGGATTTGTTTTTAAAGGGACCCCAAATGCCCTCCCCCCGCCCCCCACACGCACACACACCTAACTGAATGCACACCAAGTAATCTAGAAGACACAATTAAATATTCCACAATCAGAGATTTAAGTACAGATTAATATAGCAAAGCAAATGAGTGTTATGCAAAGTGTCAAGGATGGAGTTTTAAAAGTAACTCCTCCAATGTTCATGAAATGTCATCAAAGCAAAGCCCAAAGTTCACTAGGAACACGCGACTTAGTTATAAACTCCTAAACGTAGAAATGCATGGTGGCAACACTGATGGGGTCTTTTACTAAATAAACACAAATCTTCCTGTTAAAAGCAGATGTTTGAACAAATTTACTAAAACAAAATCTTTTAACACCCTCTTTACAAAATTCACAATAAATTCATCCATCATGAAATAATCCAATCACTACTGATGCTCATTCAAGTCTTGCATTTTTGGCCTTGTCCTGAAAATTCCAAACTCATTCTCAACACACACAGGGCAACAGTGAAATAACCCTCAGCACTGGGTGCTGGAAAATCAGAGTATGCTTTTTGCATAATCTTTTGTCTTCGGAACACCAGCAAGAGGTCATGTTGTCTGAGACAAAAGTATGTTTTATCTTAAAACACTGAAAACCACAAAAGCAGGGTACTGAAAAAGCAAATCAAGGTAAAAAGGCAGGACAAAGGAAGGTTTAATTTCAGGATTTTCTCCTTTTCAAACCTACAGTTCTAGCTCCTGACTGCTTTCCTAAGAGAACGTTCATTACCAACGGCACATGTTGCAAGCTGCCCCACCCCTGTGGACAGATCTGAACCCTGTCCTGCCCTGCAGCATCCTCACGGCATAGACATGCTTGAGCCCATGGTTACTGTCACCAACTGCAAAAAGAACTCCCTTAAAGGCATGGTTTCTCCAGCTTGCTGAGCCCCAAACCCTGCTGTAAGTAGCATGAGCAATGAATGAAGAGGAGGATCAAGTAAAAAGACAAGAGCAAACTATGTGTAGTATAGATCTCTACCCTGAACAAAATGTGAAGAAAACAGCCAGGAAAAATAGCATCTTCAGAATAGGGCTGGCAGACACTGGGATAAGACTGTGCAATGTGCCCCTATGTAAAAGTGGGAAGCTGAGAGCAGCAATCGCACAGCACAATTCTGTGAAGAAATGGAAAGGCAGATATTCTATCCTCGAAACAGCATGGGTCTAGGGGCTGAATGCATATCTACAATATAAAAGAGGATCAATTTTCTGTTCTTATAAAGGAAAAAGTTCAACTCTCTGTAACTGAGTTTCACATTAATTGGTACTTTATTTGCTTAAAACCTACACAACATTTGTCAGTTTGAGAAGAAATTCATTGTGAGATATAGGCTGATTTTACCATTTAAATTATAGAGGGCAGTTATCCTTGGTAAAATTTTACCCAAGAAACAGAACAGATACACATATACTTTAAAAACATGAAAATTAAAGAGTGAGATCTGAAATCAACAATGATTTCACTTTTGGTGGTCCCTGCCCTTTTTTTCTTCTTTAAAGCTTCTTAAAGACTGCAGCAGGATAAAGGATCACTGGTTCTGAGTCTCTAAGAAGTGATGAATAAAAAGAAAACCTATACCTTCAACTAAGGCCAGGCAACTCCGCTCCCCACATCCCGCCAAAGATAACAGGAATCCTTTTAGGAGCAACTCAGAACTCATCTTTTATCTCCTACCTGCCTCATTAGCAGATGTTTAAAGTCATTTTTATTATTTTTAAAAGACATCGATATTCATGTATATAGATAATAAAAGCTCTTATTAGAGGAGATTTGATTTTTAAAGAAAAGTGCAGGTAGGGAAAAGAAGAAACGATTTTTTAACTAAAACCCTCCCAAACGTCTTAAGCATTGTTCAACTTGCTGTCATTTAGCAAATAGCAAAAATTTCAGTGTTCATCTAAAATCTTATTGCTTTACAACTGTGGTATTCTTTCCATTAAAATAAAAAGACGAAGCCGTCAATCCAGTGATTAATTTGACATGGCTTTCAATCGGGACTGAGGAGTGGGAATGACAGAAAACCAACATACAAAAAGGGAACTTAAACTTACAACAGTTTTCTTAAAAAAAAAAAAGAAAAGAAAAGAGAAAATGCTATTATGTTCAACAAATGGAAAAAAGCATTCAAAGCCCGTAAGTCAAGCCATAGCCAAACCCATATTCTATCTTAAGCGGGTTCTCTTTTTTGCCATTTTCTTTCTTTTAATAAAACCTTTCCCCAAACCATCATCACTTTAATCATCCCCAGACTGGGCCTCATCTTCAGAGCCTTCATCCCCTGATTTCTCAGGCGGCGGGCTGGCAGGGGGCTTCTTTTCGGGAGGACTTTCGGGCTCCTCATCGTCGTCTTTGGGGGAAGGAGTCTTTTCCTTTGATGCCTTTGAAGCTGTGGGACGACCCACTTTCCCTTTGCCTTTCACTGGACTTGGCGTCACTGCAAGAACAACAATACCAATTTGAAAAAGGAAAAGTAGGGAAAGAAAACAACCATTCTTTTAATAAAAATTAGCAACAAAACATTCTGTAAGACAAAATTCCAACTTAACAAAAAACCAAGGTGGGCACCAAGCTATTAATCAACATTCATTCATTGCTGTCAAGTGTGAACCAATTCATAGCAGACCCTCCAGGCGGGTTTCCCAGGGGTTTACACAAGAGCTGGCCCATCTTTCTCCCTTGGAACCACTGGTGGATCTGAACTGCCAAGAGGCACCATCTCTGGGTGAGCAGTACCATTTCTTATAGATTACATAAGCAAAGCTATGCTGTGGTAGGTACTGCTGAGTCAAAGAGTTGCAGTCAACGAGTCCTGCATTTGGTCCCAGACAGATCTGTCTATTCTTTTGGCAATACGTGGGATATTTGTAGTCTTGTCCAAAATCAGTGAAAAGGGACTGGTTCCTCTTTTGTCATCTTTTTTTTTCACTGTCCAACTTTCAGATGCACGCCAAAGCTACTGTCTCTAAACATCTGTCTTAAATTCTCAACTAGTCATGATACAATGACTGTAGTGACTGCCACTCATTTTTACTAACACTGTAATACTGTATTAATAACAACGCTTGTAATGGAAATCGCCGGGTGATTGTGAGTAAGTGCTTAACAAGATATTTTGCTGTTAAGTGTTAAGGATGGAAGTTCAAGTCCACCTACAGGTGTCTTAGAAGAAAAGTCTAATGAAAAATCTGCCACAGAAAACACAAAACAGCTTTTACTCTGCCACACCAGGCGGCTGGCACTGAGTTTGAACTGACTCAACAGCAACTGACTCAATGTGTGCAACAGAGAAACAAGACAGTACAGAAACAGCATCACGCTCAGCACCTTGTTAAATGATTTAATTATGAAAGCGCCATACCACCTTCCACAGTGGTTGTACCATTTTACACTCCCACCAACAGTGAATAAGGGTTCCAGTTTCTCCACAACCTCACCAGCATTTGTTGCTTGCTGTTCTGTTAAATTTTGCTATTCTTACTGGGGTGAGATGGTAGCTCACAGTTGTTGTGAAAAATGATTTAGTTATGAGGAAAATGTTTGCATTTAAAAAAAAAGGTGAAAAAAAATGGAAATCTGGTTAGAAACTGAAGCTTCCAAATAGCTTGACATTTCTATCATTTCGAAGAGTAAAAGTGATAAGCAAAAGGGGTGGGTTTGTTGTTGTTTTTTTTTAAAAAAGTCACTATTGGTGTGAATAAATTACATGTATTAAAAAAAGTCAACTTTTTATTTAATTACCAATTGACTCTGAACAGGAGAATGAAACCCCAAGAGTTCAGTGAAAATGAACCTGTGTGGTCCTGAATGGTTTCATTCAGAAAGCACAAGAGTGGGAGTGGGGTCAGAACATATGTTATACAAACTCATTTGTAAGTTCATATAAACACTATGGTTTACAAGTATACTGTAACACTATGGTTTACAAGTATACTGTAATCTATTAAATATGCAACAGCATTTTAAGAACTTTGAAATATTGTGAGAATTACCAAGATGTGACACTGACACAAAGTGAACACAAGCTGTTGAAAAGATGGTGCTGACAAGACTTGCTTGACGCATTATTTGTGAAGCACAGTAAAATGAGGCACGGCTGTCTTCACTAACAGCTGTGTTGACAGTGTCCATCACTATACCAAACAGCTCATCTCCAACTCTTGCTTTTGGATGACAGTGGTTGAAAAGGAGGATTTTAAGTCCACCAGACTTGTGTACTAACAAACAGCTTGCGAGTTTAGCTAACCTAAACTCGAGCCTTTCTGGCAATATGTGTCCACTAATGGCTCTAAGGGAGAGAAATAGAGAATCTGCTCCTGTGCAACTTACAGCCTCAGAAACGCAAAGGAGGGTCATGATGTGTCAGCTCTGACTGGCAGCAATAGGGAGGTGGAGGAGAAAAAAACAAACTGCTGATGGGAACCAAAACCTGTCTTATTAATAAGGAGCAAATCACAAACTTTATTCTTGATGTATTTTAAGTGATGCCTCTAGGTATAGAAGACACAATCTATTTGGAATTCTTGTTTTTCTGCTAAGTAACTGGCAAATACCTAGCTATAAGAATTTCTGTAGAGAAAGTCTAATTGGTTCTTGAAATCTTTCAAAGTGGTATTTTAATATCAAGTCTGCAGACTTACCTGTTGCCTTTAGCCTGGGTTTGGGCATTTTCTTTTCTTTTCTCTCAGGCTTAGCCTTCTTAACCATCTTTTTGTTTTTCTTTTTTGAACTGCCATAGTCACTGTCGTCATCATCTTCCATTAGGAAATCTTCATCACTGCCAGAATCTTCTGAGAGAAAAAAAAAGAATTTCAATAGCTGACTTAACGGGTATATTTTTCTGTATGACACATGAAGACAAGACAGCCCCAAGAATGACTTAAGAGCTGACTTAGGGAAATAAACGATTTTGGATTCTACTTGCAACATTAGCCGTAGGTGTAAAGCAGGTTTAACATATAACTCGCATGAAGGTTACAAGACCTATTTGAAAAACAGATCAAAAACAGGAAGCAGGAAGGAGTACCAGTACAGAGTAGTTGAGCACCCAGCTGCTAAAAGAGTGTCTGCTTCCACAAACATTAGTTTCAGAAACCCTATGAGCTAGCAGTTATACTCTATTCTCTAGATCTACATAATTTACTTCACTTTGACAAGAACAAGTTTAAGGGCGTGATAACTGAGTAAAACCTTAAATTATCAAGTAACCCTTGGTAATTCTGTCATTCCCATGCAGTACTGACAAGACTACAGAAACAAAATCAAACAGACCCAGTGTTTTTGGTCCAACTATGCATAATTGTAATAAGGAAATTATGCACAAAACAGAAGTATTTATTTAACTAATCTGAGTAATCTGTAAAACACCTTGAAGAGGAATCTATAACCCCTCTCTCAAACTAAAATATAAATAGAAATCATTTACGAGTTGACACCTATACAAGTAATTGCTAATCCAACAACTATTCATTGAATATCTGAATACGTAATGTGTCAATCACTGAAGAGAGTAAAACACCTCATAATGGCAGATTATAATCATCACTCTTGGAACCTTTAAAATATTTAAACATTAATACTTAGTCATCTTTTCTATTAACAAGTAACTACTCAATTTCTGAGACTGGTTCTAAAACAAGTCAAAGTAATCCAGGTCAGAGATCACCTCACAACCACAGCACACGTGCCAGTTTACATACTTTCTTGGAATGGTGCCTCATCTTCCTCTTCTTGTTCTTCTTCACTGCCCACGTCTTCCATGAGCATCTCTCTCTGCTTAGAGGCTGCTTTAGATGCCGCCTGCCGTTGCTGACGTACATTTTTATGATCTTCTTTTTCATCTTCACTATCCTCTGCAAGAGCAAAGTCAGCATGAGGCAGTGACCAGAGTCCTGTGTCTATCTGACAGAAGGGAAACCCAACACTCAGTGGCTCATAAAGGATATAAGCTGCAGTCCCTCTGTCACTGAAAACTGTGTATCTCATCCTTAAAACACTCCCATAAGACAAACAAAAGAGAGGCTAAAATCCGAAAAGAATTAACTTGAACAAGACTTCGTATCCACCATTACAAAGAAAGTAACTTAGAAAAATAATTTTAAGCAATATTAAAACTGGACTCAGGCATGTACAATGTTTCCTACAATAGATTCTAAACTTAAGCCACTACTTTGCCCCTAAATTATCAATTACATTTAATTACATATCAATTACATGTCTAAAGTTAGAAAAAGATTTTTATCTAAATTGGAGAGAGACTAAGGTATAAACAAAAGATATATTAGCATGTGGATCCTAAAATAAAGTCAAGCAATTGAATGGGGTGTGGCTCTGTCAATTTAGAGGACAGAGAGAAATCTTTAAATCCATTTAGACCCATTAGGTAATGATCTTTGTGCAAGTTTATTTTAAAAATCTATTCGGAGGACAGAGTATAGACTACCAAAAAGAAATTAGCAGAGTTTGGGTATAAATTGGATTACAGGACAGGCTTCTGGTCCCTTGGCTCTAGATCACAGTACCTACCTGCTACTTTTGCCTCGACTTCAAGTCTCCTTTATTAATGTTTCCAGCTGTTATTCTTTAGAAATGCTTGCTAGAGTCAGTTCTCAAGTCATTCACTGTCAAATATCTTATCTGCAGATAACTAGAAGGAATAGAACTGGCCTTGGCAGATGTCAAACTAAATTTACCCAGTAGGTGGTATGTTTAATACAAGTATTCATCTTGCAAGTGCTCAGTAAATTAGATTTCAAATTCAGGATTACAAAGCAAGATGAACATAAATATGTATCCACAGGATAGCATTAATAGATCAGTATAATTTCTTGTCAACTTAGGGAGCCAGACAGCCAAACTGAACAATAATAATAAATAGCTCAGTGGAATTAATGTAGTGGAACCTTCTCTATCCATTCCATATTAGCTAACTAGGCTGGGTTTAAGGATGATCTAGAAAGGCAGCAGGAGGGAGAATATAGGTCAAAAAGAAAGTGGTCAAGAGCAGTATGGAATGAATTATTTTATAAAGAAGTAAATTTAAAAGTAAATACCAATAATGATTATTGTGAACTGAATTTTACCATCAGAATTTAAAATTTTCATTTAGTCATGGGACTTATATTCATTCTTTTAAGTTAAATTCTATTAAAAAGCTTTCTTTGGCCATTGCTCAAAGGCTGACTGAGGCTGCAACAATGTGGACTGTATCTCAGTATCAAAAGGACAAGGATCACCACTGGGCCAACAGGCAGCATCCCAAAAGATTGAAGTTGCCAACAATTTCACTTTGCTTGGACCACAATCAACACCTTTTGCACCAGCAGACAAGAATAGCAAGTCGCATGGCACTGGGTAAAACAGCAGTCAAAAGATCTCTTTAAGGGGTTGAGGAGCAATGATGTCAGTTTAACGAATAAGGTATATCTGATTCAATGGTCTTTTCAATTGCTAGTTATGCACCTAGAAACTGGACAACGACTAAAGTGGATGGCAAAAAAAAAAAATAATCTATTTATGCCTTGGACTGCCAAAGGAACAATTAAATTAGGTTTTGGAAAAAGTGAAATCAGGGTGCTCCTTGGAGGCAAGGATGGTGCAACTTCACCTCACATACTTTGGGCATGTTATTAGGACAGAGCCAGTCCTTGGAGAAGGACATCACGCTTAGAAAGATGTAGGATCAGTGAAGGAGAGGAAGACCCTTATCAAGATGGACTAACACAGAGACTATGACAACAGACTCAAGAGATGAGGATGGGACAGACGGCCCAGAAGACCCAGAGCCACCATGCTCATGGTGTTGCTATCAGTTTGTAGTCTGTCTCCTCAAGGCACCTAACACCACAGTATTTTACCTTGTATTGTACGTATGAGGAACACGGCTGTTGACAGAAGTTAGTGGTTTAAACCCACCTTTGGCTCCTGGGGATCTTCCAAGCGTAGATTTCTGCCTTGGAAACCTTATGGAGTGGTTCCCCTCTGTCCTATAGGATCACTGAATCAGAAGTGTCTTGGCGGCAAACAACAACAAATATCTAAACCCTAGTATATCTAACAGTGTCTAATATATAAAACCTGCTTATCAAAAAGTCTAATAAATAAACAAACATGAAGAGAATTATAGCTATTACAGTTAAAATAGTTTATTACCTGCTGAGTGGGAATCATCCTTCTTGGTCTTCACATCTTTTTCTTCTGAGTCCTCACTATAAGGGGAAAAGCAATGCTTAAGGCTTCAGATCAGAGTCTACACGAACACAGATCCCTGGTATCTATCTTTCATTGAGAACAACGAAGGATACCTCTTTTCTATGTTAAATGTTCAAATAGGTCCTGAGGAGTGAAATTACTTCCATTATTTCTCCACCTTGGAATAAGCATATTTTTATCTACTTTAGAAAACATCTTCCAAAGACCTGCATCCTACCCTCCCCCCCATAGTATCTGTTGATAAAGGCTAAAAATCCCAGCTATTATTAAGGCCCACTTCACAAGAATATGGGGTTGGGCGTGGGAAGTCCACCAAACAGATAAAAAACCAAAACCAAAACCAAAAACACCCACCAAAAACTCTCTGTGAACAGACACACAGAATGTGTCGATCAACTATGTAAAAAAATGAAGCTATGCACAGCTGCAAAGAAACCTAACAGAGACAATTTCAGAGAAGTGGGGTTCAGTTATGCAATCAATAATCTCTGGGAAAATGGACCAAATATGAAGTGACTACATTCCAATATAAATTGTTTCCAATATTTCCAGCACCTGAAACATTAACATATATTTGCCTCATTTTATGAAGAAACTATGAACTAAAAAAAACCTCTGAAAAAGGATTTGAAAATTTCAATGAAAACTTTCTTAAACTTTAAAAAGACACAAATTTTATTACTTTAAAAATCTTAATTCAGTAATTTCTGTTCTTAGTGCCATGACTGTCATTAATCAGTTGTATGATCTTAATTTTAATCAGCACTTGGTGCTCTTCAGTACTAAAATTTGACCCCACAAGAAATTCTGATGAACAAAAAAGGAGAATTCATGCATAAAAATGGCATTCAGTTTCCCCTTTCAAATAGCAGGTCTTGCAAACCTTTTCTGGTATTTCCTGTAATCTAGACCACACTCAAATGACCACTGAACCGAAGATTCTTAAGCAATGAGAAAACCCAAACATATTTATTCACTAAAAAAACTGAGTTTAAGACACTTTATAATCCTAAAACTTATGATTGATCCACATGTTTAAAATGTTGTTATAAAAAAATAAAGCATTTAAAAGTCCATCACAATGATTACAAACTATATATTCTGTATTTCTATTATTAGTGGGTTTAAAACGAAGTAATTGCAACAATAAAGGATTTAGACTAGCTAAAACCACTCCAGTGAAACATTATTAACACACCACAAAGAAGACTATTCTGAGGAGAAATAGAATAAATGAATATTACAAAGAAAGACAGTTCTAATCCATTTAAAACTAGATTAGAAAGATACACTATGAAATGCTGAAGTCTTATTCTCCCTATAATGATATCTTACTTTTTCCTCTCAAAAAACCCTTTCTGAAATTCTCCAGCAAAAAAATTTGATGTTGGCAACAAAAACATGAGGCATATGCAGATATATTTAAGTATTATTTCTAAGAATTTAGTACCCTGTCAACTCAGAATGGAAAGACTTCTGCCTCGGGCAGTACTGTTATTGAAGTGATTGTAGTGTTAAAAAGCAAATGTTGTAAAAGACCTAGTAAGAAAGATTAGTTTTTTGCTTGGCCCAATTATAATACTTTCTGGAAGCAGTATATCTATTGTTGGTAGGTGTCATCAAGTCAACCACAACTCATAGCTACCCTATATAAAAAAAGACAGATCTGAACCTTGTCCTATCCTGTGCCATCCTGACATCTCTGATTAAGGGTCTTATCTCTGATCCTCTACCTTCCCAGCATGTCTTTTTCCAAGGACTAGCCCCACCTGACAACATGCCTAAAGTATGTGACACCAAGTTCATAGTCTTTGCCTCTAAGGACGACACTAGTTGCGCTCAATCTAAGACACACTTGTTTGTTCTTTTGGTTGTCAATGGTATATTCAGTGCTCTTCCTCAACATGATAATTCATAGTCATTAATTCTTCTTTTCACATCCTTATTCACTGCCCAATTTTCAGAAGCACAGAAAGCAAATGAAAATACCTGGGTCGGGTCAGGCACACCTTAGTCTTTAAACTGACATCATTGTTCTTCAGCACTTTGTACAAGTCCTTGATAGCAGATTTCCCAAGTGCAGTATGTCTCTTGATTTCCTGACTGTTGTTACTATGGGTATTGACTATAGACAAAATAAAATGAAACTGGTGACAACTTCAATCTTTTCGATATTTATTATGACCCTTTCATCTAGTGGTGTGGATTTGTGTTTTCTTAATGTTGAGATATAATCCGTATTGAAGGCTACAGTCTTTGATCTTGGGCAACAAGTGTTAAGTCCTCTTCACTTCCTATAAGCATGGGTATGTCATGTACGGGCTACTGCAGCATCCTATATTCTTCTTCATATAATTCAGCTTCTTGAATGATTTGCTCAAAATACACAGACTGAGTAAGTATTGAGAAAGGATAAAAAGTGACACACATCTTTCCTAATTTTAAATCTACAGTGTCCCCTTGTGTGTACTGGGATTCTTACTCTCAATGTTAGCCTTGATTGGTCTTTATCCACATAGTCAATAAAGCACAAATAAGCATCTTTCTGATAGTCTCTGCTGAAACCAAGATCCATCTTATATCAGCAATGCCTTTGCCTCTTCTGAATCTAGCTTGATTTCTGGCAGTTTCCTGTTATTTTAAAATACTTTTCAGTAAGATTTTACTCGCATATGATATTAATGAGATTGTGTGATAATTTCTACATTCTATTGGATAACTCTTTTTGGAAACTGGAGTAAAGAGGCATCTCTTCCAGTCAGCTGGCCGGATACTTGTCTTCTAAATCTGTCTGCTGAATCATATCAAATGGTATTCTATCAGTTCCTGGAGTCTTATTTTCTGCTAAACTTAACATCTTATTAACTACTATTGGTTCTTGAACATATGCTACTTCCTGCAATAACTGTCAACAAATTATTTTTGTTAGTGATTCCATGTATTCTTTTTTAATATAAAAAAGTTTGAATTTTTTTCCATTGTTGCACATTTTCTCCCTCCTGCCTCTCCCTCCAATGCATCCCTGGTTCCTGCTCATTCTCGTACATATAATGCCTACTCATATATTCCTTTCTAACTGTTCTTCCCCTCAAATGGTCTAATGCAGTACTCATTATCTCTCTACTTTTCCCACTCCCTCCCCAATTCCCCCACATTTGTCCTATTTTAGAACAGCAGTATTACGCAGTATTTGTCCTTTTGTGACTGAGATTTTTCATTCAAAATAATGTCCACCAGGCTTCCCCACATTGTGTAAATTTTACAAGTTCACTGTTTTTCAGTGCTGCATAATATTCCATTGTGTCAATGCATCATAGTTTTCTACCCATTCATTTTTTGACGGGCACTTGAGTTGCTTCCATCTCATTGCTACTGTGAATAATGCAGCAATAAACATAGGTGTGAATACATCTATTTGAGTTGTGGCTCTGGTAGTGGCTGTTCCATTTTACATTCCTACTGGCAGTTGAGTAAGAGTTCTGATTTCTCCACAACCTCGCCACATCTGTTGTTTGCTGGCCTGTTGAACTTTGATATTGTTATGGGGCTGAGATAGTATCTCAGAGCTGTTTTGTTTCCATCTTCTTTCAATGATTCCTACACTATTCCAGATTTGGCCCATAAAATCCTTCAGTGCTGCCAACTTCAAGCTTGAATTTTTCAAGTTTTTTCAGGTGAAGAAATGCCCATCGTTGTTCCTTTTGCTTTTCTAAGTTCAGATCTTTGCTCATTTCATTATACTACTTTGCTCTGTCCTATTCAGCTGCCCTTTAGAATCTTCTGTTCATCTCTCATTTCAACATTTCTTTCCTTTGTTTTGGACTCCCTACATTCCAGTGCAAGTCTCAAAGTCTGCTTTTCACATGCATTTTGATGCCCCACCCCTTTGTCTTTGTAATGACCTTTTGCTTTCTTCACAAACGATGTTTCTGCTGTCTTTCCACAACTCATCTGGTCTTCAGTCACTGGTGTTCAATGCATCAAATCTTTTCTCGAGATGGTTTTGCAATTCAGGTGTGACAGACTTATTTTGGTTCTGGAAGATCAGTTTTCCTTTTCTTCAGCTTCAATGTGAACTTGTGAGTAGTTGACGCCTGTTCTACAGTCAGCCCCGGCTCTATTTTGACTGATGACTGAGCTCTACTTTGGTTTCTTTCCACAGATGTTACTGTTGTTGTTAGGTGCCATCAAGTTGAGCACAACTTACAGAAACGCAATGAACAGACCTGAACCCTGTCCTATCCTCTGCCATCCTCATTAGCTCTGACATACTTCAACTGGTCACACATTCCATTCCACAGATGTAGTCAACCTATTTCCTAATTCCTGTGTAGCTTCAGTTTGCTCGGCTCCATAGTCAACACTCTTGGCACCAGTAGCCAGGAAATAAAAAAACGTACTGCGATGGGAAAGTCTGCGGTTAGGGACCTCTCCAAAATACTCAAGAGCAACAGTGTCTCTCTGGAGACTAAGGTGCGTCTGATACAGGCCATGGTCTTTGCAATCGCTTGTTATGCATCAGAGAGTTGGACAATGACTAGGGAGGACAGAAGGAGAATGGACACCTTTGAGCTGTGGTGCTGGAGAAGAGTACTGAATGTACCATGGACTGCCAAGAAAACAAACAGATTCATCGTAGAGAGGATTAAACCAGGCTGCTCCTTGGAGGCAAGGATTCTGGGGCTTCGTCTGATATACTTTGGACATGTTGTAAGGAGAGACAGGTCTTTAGAGAGGGACATCATACTGGGTAGAGTAGAGGGACAGCGCAGGAGGGGAAGACCCTCTATGAGGTGGACTGATTCAGTGACTGGGGTACTCAGGATGGGTATGTCAGAGGCAATGAGATTGGCACAGGATAGAGCACGGTTTAAGGCTGTTGTACATAGGGTCGCTATGAGTCACGACTCGACAACACATAACAACAACAACAACAACAACAACAACAACAACGTATTAGGTGAATCTATGTGCACGTTGTTGTTTTGTCCCATCGAGTCAATTATGACTCACAGAGACCCTATGAACAAGAGGTCGGAACCCTAACTATCCTGAGCTAATCTCACTGTCTCAGACCCACCTGCCCCGATTGCCATAGTCACTGTGTCAAATCCATCTCGTCCAGGGTTTTCTTTTCCTGTAATGACCCTTTACCCTTTCAAGTATCAAGTCCTCCTCCAAGGACTGGTCCCTGCTGGTAATATGCCCAAAGTATGTGAGATTGAGCTTCACAATCCTAGCCTCCAAGGAGCAACCAGGTTTTACCCTCTCCAAGACTACTCTCTTGGCAGTCCATGGTATGTTCAATATTCTATGTGTTCTGTTGTTGCTGTTATGGATCATCGAGTCACCTGCACCTCACAGCGACCCTATGTACAATAGCTTGGAGAGGCTCAGTATTAGCTGAGAAAACTAGACCAGGTGCTGATTGTGAAACAGACTATCAACTATTCATATGCAAGTTCAAACTGAAGCTACAAAAAAGTAAATCTACAAGAACTAAAATTTGATCTTAAGTCTATCCCACTTAAATTTAAAAACCATCTCAAGAAGATATTTGAGGCCTTTGCATATCAAACAATGAAAACCAGATGAACTGTGGGAGGCTATCAAGAATATTTTTAATGAAGCTTGCAAAAGACAGAGGAGAAAGGAAAGACTAAGATGGATGTCAGGAGAGACTAGAACATCAGGAGGCCAAAGCAAAGGGAATAAATCCAAAAGCTAAGAAGCTGAACAGAAGACTTCAAAGGGCATCTTGGGTAGACAAAACTAAGTATTATAATGAAATATGCAAAGAGCTGGAGTCAGAGAAATCAAAATGGACAAACTCCCTCGGCATTTAAACTGAAGAAACTGAAGAACAAATTCAAGCCTCGAGTCGCAGTATTTGTCGCAGTATTTAAAGATGCTATGGGCAGAATACGGAATGATCCAAAATGCATCAAAAAAGATGAAAGGAGTACAAAGAGTTACTGTATCAAAAAGAAATGGCTGGCAAAAGAATTTCATGAAACAGCCTAATGACCAAGAAGCAATGGTGATGAAGTACAAAGTTCAAGCTGTTCTAAAGTAACTGGCAAAAACAAGGCCCCCAAAATTGATGAAATACCAATTGATGTATTTCAACAGATGTTGCTTTGGACGTGCTGTGCTCACCAAGCTGTGCCAAGAAACCTGGCCAGCTGAGTAGAAGAGATCTATATTTATTCCCATTCCAAAAGAGGGTGAAACTAGTTCAATAATGTGTAAACGATTGAACAGTATCACTAATATCACATAAAAGCAAAACCTTGCTGAAGATTATCCAAAAACAACTGGAACAGCACATCAACAGAGAACTACTAGAAGTAAAGGCTAGGTTTAGAAGAGGCTGTTGCACTAGGAACATAACAGCCAATGTCAGATGCTCTTGGCTGAAAGCAGAGAATTCCAGAAAGTCTGTGTTTCATTGATTCCGCAAAGGCATTTGACTATGTAGATGACAACAAACTGTGGCTAACCTTAAGAAGAATGAGAATCCCAGAACACTTGATTGTGGTCCTATGAAACCTATACCTGGACCAGGAAGCAGTCATCAGAAGCAAGAAAACAGTTGATGTGCATAATCACTATTAACGGTTTTAAAGACTAAATCATTCATTGTACAAAATTCTATCATTAGATCTCTAGCCTCATGTCTGTCACCGTCTGTATTTTTTAAGTACTATTCCTTTTTCTTTGTTTCTAACTTTTGCATTCCAGTCACAAATTATTAATAACGGATCTTGGCTGCATGCTCAATCTATTTCTGACTGCAAAAGTTTATTGTTACATACCATCAAGTCAGAAGTAAGTCATAGGTGATCCTCCAGTGGGTTTTCAGAGGCAGTAATTAAATAAGAAATGGTTCATCTCTTTTCCTCACAGCAGCTAATGGATTTGAACTGCAGGCCTTCAGGTTAGCAGTGCAGTTCCTTACCATTAGGCTACCAGAGCTCCCAAAAGTTGGCTGTTGTTAAGTGCCACTAAGCTGGAACCAACTCATATCTGATCCTCCAATGGCCTTCCAGGAGTAAATCACACAGAAGGGGACTGCCCATCTGTCTCTCGTAGAAGCTGGAAAATTCAAACCATGTGCTTTGGTGTTGGCAGCCCAGCTTCTTACCAGTAGGCCACCAGAGTTCCCAGAAGTCACTCTACTGGGAGAAAGTTAAGATTTAAAGCCCCAGAAACCAAATGGAGTTGCCATGAGTCAGAATCAACTTGAAGGCAGTGGGTGGTTTTTTAATATTACTATCAAATCTTGAACTTACATTACCCTGAGTATATGTGTCCTTGAGTATATGTACATAAATATAGTAGCAAGACAGGCTTATGTCATAAATAATAGTAGTAATACAGAGGCAAAATTAATTTAAATTACAACATGACTGAAGACAGAACTTATTTGTAAAAGGGACAGGAAATAGGACTAACAATTCCATTATTTAAACAAAGAAGAAATGACTATAAGACAGTAAATTCCACAGTCTCTATAACTGCAGGGAACTCTGGGAACTAGTAGGTAGAAAGGTGTGCTTCCAACCCAAAAGCCATCAGTTCAATCCATCAGCTGGTCAACAAAAAAAGACAGGTAACTTCCTCCCATGCAATTTATAGCCTCTGAAAAATCTGTTGGGAGGGTCAGTTATGAGTCAGTTCTGACTCGATGGCAATTAAGTTTGAGCTGGTTAGCTGATAAAAACTTTCCATCTATAAGCTTTAGTCATAATTCTGTCAACGATTTCTAAATGAACAAGACAGGCTATTTAGCTAATATAAACATCGAACATTTAGCAAACATCAACAAAAATATCAGGCAACATATTGTATACTGAATAATTTAACTTTTCTGTTTAAAGTATCATTCTTGAAAATCACTTGGATTCCAAGTTGAGAGCAAGCAAACCTCATGAACTCAAAGGAGGCTATACTGCTACATCTAGAAGCACTGCATCAGATCATACCCAACATCCAAAACAATGCTACGTGGGCTCAAAGCATTTCCCCAAAAGCATATGAAGATTGCATCAATTTAGAGATCAAAGACTACTTTCTTAAGAGCAATAACAGTAAAACATCACATACCTATCTTCTTGTGAATTCTTTCCAGATCGTCTCTTATTTTTAGCTTCTCGGGGAGATGACCGGATTTTCTTAACTGGTGGACCTGAATCTCTTCCATAATCTTCATCTAAACAAAGATAACAAATTCAATTAACTTTAGGTTATGAATATAAGTATTACATATAAAATCACTAGTAAATTTATGACATAATTACTTTTCATGCTATTTAAGTGGTGAGATGGACAAGATTTCCCAAACAGTTTTTATTGTTTTAGAATTATTTTCCACCCCAGGTTTTCAATCTTATCGATTTCCATTTTTGTTTTACATACTCTAGTCCTCAGGTTCATATTTTTAATGTATCTGTGGAATACAAGACTTAATTTTACCTCCAGGAAAAAAAAAAAAAAGTCTTTTGTCCTCAGTTCTGGAGAAGAGACCACTGGAATCATTGAAATATCTTGGTCCAGACTTTCAGGTCACATCTGAGAATTTATACTGGCAAGAGGGGGCTGTGAGGCTAGAAAAACTAGCCTCAGGAGGCATGATTCAGCCCAGCACTTAGGACTGACTGGTCAATAAAAGCCCTGAGTACAGAGGAATCAGAGAGCTTCTCAAATGACTTGAAAAAAAAAAAAAAAAAAAAGACCCCCAAACCAAAAAACCGGCTTTCAGTAAAGTAGCAAGAGAGAGTCCCCTGGGACACAGATGGCTCATAGTGGCCTCTCTCCTAGACCTTTGCCCTATATACATTTCTTCATTTGGATCCTTTTAGGTTATGACAAATCAGTAGTTGTAAATGAGCCACTCTAGTAAATTATCAAACTTAAAGGAGTAGTACGAACCAACAGATCATAAAGTAAGGTTGCCATGTGGAACCCTGAGCTGGTCTTTATTTTTTTTTTTTTTTCTGAGCTGGTCTTTAAAGCGGTGTGGGAAACCAGCTTTGAATCTGTGTAGTTCAGAAGGTTGGAATATCACGTGGACTGTCCAAACTCAAGGATCGGACCTCCTTATCTGAATGCCTTTTGACTCAAGAGCTCTCATCTAGCCCCTAAGGAAGAAAAAGTGCTACAGAGCAGCGAACAAGGAAAGGAAATGACAACTGGATCAATTTCTACACTCTGATGATTGGATTCTAGCTGATCTTGACCACACAATATCTATTGTCAATGATTTCTTATTATTTCATCTTATCTTTTTTTTTATTATTTTATTATTATTATTATTTTTGTGTGAGTGTACCGTCAAATTAGATCTGACTGGTACAGGAGGAGATTGTCCCTCCTTCCCCGGCAGAGCATCTGGTGGATTTGAACCGTGCACCTCTGGGATTTTAGTTGCAGCTCCTTACCACTAGGCCACCAGAGCTCCCCTTCATCTTATCTCTTTAATACATGAAAGCTATCTCGACACTCTCAAACTTACTTAAAATTATTAAGGTATTATGGTTATATTTTTAACATTTCACAAAAACTTCACAATCCTACAAACACATAATAATTACTGCTATCTAGTAAATTGCATTTAACGCAGAGTCTTTAGTATATTCTGAAAATTCAGGATATTACCATCCATGCTTAAAGCCTTATAAAACAAAATAATACAATGTTAAAGATTGAATATGTTTTTTAAAACACTGCATCATTAATTATAAAATTGTAAGCTGGTATATTCTGGGTATTTATTATTTAGTAATTATGGAATGGCTGAATCAAACGAGAAATTTTAAGTGTATGCAAGGTTGGGAGGAGAATACAAAAATGCTCAGATACATTTTTAAAAAAATAAAAAGGCTAGCAGTTAATAACAACTCATTGCTTATTATAATTTGCCTCTTCAGAATATACAGCTAACTATCTCTAGAATATATACCTAGTAGTGGAAATGTTGGATCAGCACCCTATAATTGAACAAAGGGAAGGAACACAAAGAGTATAGAAGGATTAATGGAAATCAGACCAGAAGCAATGTGGAAATAACATGTTATTGTAGGCATAGAGGTTAATGTTAGGCAACAAAATGTGTATGAATGACTGAATGACAAATTAAATTGCTTGGTAACTTTGACTCAAACTACAAAAAACCCAACATATACATACCCCTTCTCCCTCAGTAAAAGAACTCACAAAAACACTAAACACTATTTACTGGCTAATGAAACCTTGAGGAGCATCTCTACCTTAGCATCCTCACTTGTAAACTATATAAAGTAATACACCCCACGGTAACAAGAGGAGTGTTATAAGGACTATAAAATATTTAGAACAATTCCTGGAAAGTAGCAAGCATCTAATAAATATTAGTATTACTTCTGGAAGGTTGGAATATATGTTACTCTTCTTTGCATTTTAGTAGTTTCTCCAAAAAGCACACAGTATTTTTATAAAGTTAAATACAAAGGGGGGGGGAGGGAAGGGAATTTTTTTTAAATTGTGTATGCTTAATGTTGTTTTAAACTATTACAAGCTTTGCTTTTTTGCAACCTCTGCTGGGTGTGGATGAGAGGAGCAAAGAGACAAATGGAGGGTGTCCAAGACTGCCCCCTCTATTATTCCTTCAACATCTATGGAGTGCATCTTAATATGCTTCTGTTTTAAGTGACTTTTTTCCTTTCTCATTACTCTTTTACTTCACTAGTAATCTAGGGGGGGTTGAAAGCTCTTTTTACTCTAAGATAATTTTGTCAGCCAATAATTCAACATTAAGTGTTAGCTTTCCTTTGTTGCCAATGCTGAATGAAGCAGACGAGTCACTATTTGGAACTTCTACATTATGACCAATTATTTTGACTGTTGGGTGCCAAGAATCTGTATATTTCAAACTCCAATTCAGAAAAGCCACACTAATGACAGTACAACAACCTTCTCTTCTGAAATGCTTTTTCTAAGGAAGGAAGCTAGCTGGTATGGTGGGAGGACACTCAAGCAGCCTCATGAAGAGGTTGAAGGCGAGATAATGAGGAATAAAGCATTCAGTCAATGATTTGTTGTTGAGCCAATTTTTATCCCCTGGATTTCCATTCCCCACCCCTTAGAATTTAAGGAAAGTTTATGAAGAACTTCGATTTCCATTCATTCACTGAATTCATGTTCCTCTGTCTCCCCCTCCCTCAATTCACTGTTGTCTTGTGGGGCGGGGAGAGTTCTTTCATTGTTATACAGCCCCCATCCCCCAACCACTTTACTATGCAAATCTTATTCTGGACTCTTGTCATGCCAATAATACCCAATCATATAATATTCCTTTTATACAGTTCTCTCCCTTGTCTGTTTCAATGCCATGTACATTATTTATCCCCTCTTTTCTTAGTTTCCCCCTAACCCCCCGTATCCTGTTCTGTAACAGTGGCATTATGCAGTATTCATCTTTTTTGTAACTGAGATATTTCACTCAGCATAATGTCCTCCATGGTCACCCACTTTGTATATTTCATGAGTTCTGTTTTTCAGTGCTGCATAATATTCCATTGTGTGAATATACCACAGCTTCTCTATCCATTCATTTGTTGATGGGCATTTGGGTTGTTTCCAACTCTTTGCTACTGTGAACAAAAGAGCAACAAACATGGGTGTGTATGTATCTGCTTGGGTGGCAATTCTGGTTTCTTTAGGGTATATTCCCAGTAGTGGAATTGTTGGGTCAAATGGTCTTTCTATTTCCAACTTTTTGAAAAAGCACCATACTGCCTTCCATAGTGGTTGCAGCATTTTACGCCCCCACCAACAGTGAGTAGTAAGGATTCCAGTTCCTCCACAAGCTTGCTAACATTTGTTGTTTGCTGCTCTGCTAAATTTTGCCATTCTTACTGGGGTGAGATAATATAATTGTTTTGATTAGCATCTCTCTTAGAGCTAGAGATTTTGAACACTTCTTCATGTGTTTGTTTGCCATCTGAATAGCTTCTTTGGTAAAGCGTCTGTTCATATCCTGTGCCCATTTTTCAATTGGGTTGTTTACCTGTGGTGTTTGAGTATTCTATAAATTCTAGATATAAGTCCCTTACCAGAAATGTCATTACCAAATATTTTTTCCTAGTCTGTGGCTTCACTTTTTATCTGTTGGAGAAGTTTTTGGATGTGCAAAGGGATTTGACTCTTAGACACATTTATCTATTTTATCCTTTCCTGGTTGTAGGTTTTTCAGAACACAAAGAATCCTTTATATACAGCTAAGATTTTAATTTAAACTACTCACTCAACATTGATTTATTTCTTAAGTCAAAGCTGTGTCACACAATATAACATCTGAAACATTTTACACAATAAAACTCAACTGCTTTATTATGCAAACATGAATAGCTACCATAATAAGCCACAACTTTTGATTATAGCAAGAACTATTTTAAGTAACAAACACTATACCAGAATTAATGGGAATATAAACTTTGAACTCCAAAACCCCAGGAGAAAAAATTATCCAAATGCATTTTCAATGATTTACTAAGGAAAAGTGAGTTCATCCAAGTTCAACTTTTGTTTTGATTGACATAGATGTTTTTTATGACTTTTATTTAAAAATATGTAAAAGCTAGCATAAAAATTTCTTCCAACTAATCAGCTCAGAATAAAGTGAAATCACAAAAACTTACCAGCATCATCAGATTCCTGAAACTGTGAATAATCAACGACCTTCCTATTTCTGTTGAAAGAGAAGTTTTAATTAAACAAAATAATAAAAAAGCTAGACTTCTAGTATATCAGGAACAAACATTTCTATTACACAAGCACAATTACAAACTAAAAAAGTAGTTTCACAAAAGCTACCCCGACCTCAGTCAAAATACTTCTTCAGGCATCTGAGATGAAGCCCGAGAGTTAGTATCATTAGGATGCAATATACCAACCATAAAGTGAAGAGTTCTTTTTGACTCTTTAAACCCATACTCCAACATCATGGGTAACCTGCCAGTCACTGTTATAGGAAGTGCAACATAAATAAACCAATGACTGTTCAACCTGTCATTCTCATAGTGTTAGCTCAAACACCACATTCCTGCCTAATATTTTCTCATCGCAAAGGACATAAACAGTAAAATTAACCAAATCACCAGATACTGCACCACAGTGCATAAGTGAACATGGAAATGTCATTTCTTACTATTTACATATGTGTACACCTGACAAACAAGAGTATTAAGTTTTCTTCAAAACAAAACCAATTTTTAAAATAATTATAATGAATGAGGAATCCCTGGTGGTGCAGTTAAAAAGTTCCACTGCTACTCATCAAAAGCCAGTTCAAGTCCACCCAAAGATGTTGCCTGGCAATATGTTTCTGAAAATTCAGCCACTGAAAATTCTGTACTAAGACACAGATTCTAACCTGGTAAATTACCTGAATAGTGATGGATCAGAATCAACTCAATGGCAGCTAGCTATACTTTATAAATGAATTATGAAAGTAAGTTAAGCCTTACACAGAAAGAAAAAGAAAATACATTAATTGATGGATACAGCAAAAGCTGCATTTTATTAATGGACCTGTAAGTAAAAGCACAACAGCAAAAAAAACCAGAAATCTAACAAATTTACGTATGTACTTGATTCAACAATTTTAAGTCAGTCCTACTAGTTAAAGATACATTCCTCTGGTATTCCCTGCTTTCAGTTAAGAGCTATCTAACATTAGCTAAAATATTCCTAGTACTACGACCCCTCCTAAACCCAGCCTGGACTTCTGATAGTCTCTGCTGATGTGCTGTTCCAGTCATTTTGGGATCTTCAGTAGAATCTTGCTTGCATGCGAAATCAATGATATTGTGCTATAGTTTCCACACTCTGTTGGGCCACCCTTCTTTGGGATGGGAACAAATATAGATCTCTTCCAGTCAGTTGGGCAGTTGGTTGGTCTCCAGATTTCTTGGCACAACTTGGTTAGCATGTCCAGGGCAACATCTATTAGCTGAAATATGTCAATTGGTATACCATCTATTCCTGGGGCCTTATTTTTTGCTATTTCCTTCAAAGCAGCCTGAACAACTTCCTTCATCACCATAGGCTCTTGCTCATAAGTTGTTTCATGAAATTCTTCTGTGTCTGCCAATTCCTTTCGATAAAGAGACTCAGTATATTCTATCTTCTTTTAATACTTCCTGGATCATTTAACATTCTGCCGAAAGCATCCTTGATTGTAGCAATGTGAGGTTTGAATCTGTTCTTCAGTTCCTTGAGCAAGTTCGGCCCTTTTGATTTTCTGACTCCAACTCCTTGCATTGTTAATATTTTACTCTGTCATCCCGTGCTGTCTTTTGAAATCTTCTATTCGACTCTTTAGTATCTTGAATTCTTTCTTCTGCTTTGGCTTCTCTGCACTCCAGTGCAATTTTCAGAGTCTCTTCTGACATCCATTTTGGTCTTTTTCTGCCTTTGAATGACCGACCGTTTGCACTCTTCCTGGATGATACCCTTGATATCCTCCCACAACTCATCTGGTCTTCGCTCATTAGGGTTCAAGGCCTCAACCTGTTCCTGAGATGGTTCTGAAATTCAGGTAGGATAGACTCAAAGTCATATTTTGGTTCCTGTGGATTTGGTTCCATTTTCGTCAGCTTCAGCTTGAACTTGCATATGAGCCAGTTGGTGGTCTGTTCCACAATCAGCTCCGGGCCTAATTTTCACAGCGGATATTGAGCTTCTCCAGCAGTTCTTTCCCCAGATGTAATCGATCGGATTCCTATGCATACTATCAGGTGAAATCCATGTATATATCCTACATTTATGTCTCTTAAAAAACGTATCTGCAATGAATAAATCATTGATTGTGCAAAATTCATTCTATCTCCAGCTTAATTTCTGTCACCGTGTCCATGTTTTCCAACTACTGAATCATCTTGTCTGTGCCCAACTTTTGCATTCCAGTCACCCATTATTATCAATGCATCTTGATTGCATTTTCTATTGGTCTCTGACTGTAAAAGCTGGTAAAAATCTTCTATTTCCTCTTCCTTGGCTCTGGTTGTTGGTGCATATATCTGAATGATAGTGGTATTCACTGGACTTCCTTGCATGCATATGGGTATTATCCTGTCACAATACTGTACTTCAAGATGGATCTAGAAATGACTTTCTTAACTATGAAAGCAACCCCATTTTTCTCACCTTTGCATCTCCAGAGTAATATACTATATGATCATCGGACTCAAAATGCCCCATGCCAGTCCATCTCATCTCACCAATGCCTAGTGTGTCAATATTTATACGTTCCATTTCTTCCTTCACAATCTAATTTTCCTACATTCATGGTTCTCACATTCCATGTCCCAATCTCTAAAGTCTGCTTACAACTGTATATCAGTGTTTCATTGATTATGCAAAGGCATTTGACTGTGTGGATCATAACATACTGTGGCTGACTCTGAGAAGAATGGGAATCCCAGACACTTGGATCGTGCTAATGAGAACCCTATACTTAGGCCAACAGTCATCAGAACAGAGCAAGGAAACACTGTCTGGTTAAAAATTGGGAAAGGCGTATGCCAGGGATGTGTCCTGTCTCCATACCTTTTCAACCTGTATGCAGAACAGATCATCTGGGAGGGTGGGCTATATGAGGAGAAATGTGGGGTCAAGATTGGTGGAAGATCTATCAACAATCTGCCTTATACAGATCACACAACCCTGCTTGCTGAAACTGAGGAGGACCTGAAGCGCTTGCTGCAGAAGGTCAAGGACTGAAGCCTTCGGTATAGGTTGAGGCTCAGTATCAAGAAGACAAATATTCTCACCACTGGACCAACTGGCAGCATCAGGATGGATGGTGAAGAGATTGAGATTGTTCACAGCTTTAGTTTGCTTGGCTCCACAGTCAACACTCTCGGCACCAGCAGCCAGGAAATTAAAAGATGTATTGCGATGGGAAGTCTGCGGTTAGGGACCTCTCCAAAGTACTGAAGAGCAATAGTGTCTCTCTGGAGACTAAGGTGCGTCTGATACAGGCCATGGTCTTTGCAATCACTTGTTATGCATCAGAGAGTTGGACAATGACTATGGAAGATAGAAGGAGAATTGATGCCTTTGAGCTGTGGTGCTGGAGAAGAGTACTGAGGGTACCATGGACTGCTAGGAAAACAAACAGATTCATCCTCGAAAGGGTCAAACCGGGCAGCTCCTTGGAGGCAAAGATTCTGAGGAGCCATCTAGCATAATTTGGACATGTTGTAAAGAGGGACCAGAGAGGGACATCATGCTTGGTAGGGTGGAAGGACAGCGCAGAAGGGGAAGGCCCTTTATGAGGAAGACTGATTCAGTGACTGGGGTAATCGGGATGGGTGGATCAGAGACAGTGCGACTGGCACAGGACAGAGCAGGGTTTAGGGCTGTTGTACATAGGGTCGCTATGAGTCGCAAGCGACTCAACAGCTCATAACAACAACAACAACTAGTTAAAGCCACCTTTAACACCTTCTTTATATTTTATACATAAACTTTCACATTAGTAGACCAACAGTGTTAACACTACAAAGACTACAAAAAAGATGCAGTGTATAACTGAGGCGTTTAAGAATGAGCTGAAAAGAGTAAGAGAAATATGGTTACGACTACACTTACACCTGAGCAAAAGGCTATTTTTGGTTTTGTATACTAAAAGATCATTGAAATGCAAAGACAGGATGGAGAGAATGCAAGCACTAGTCATCTTTTGTCATAACATGTAAAGATTATTTGGATAGGCTGAATTCTGGAAACTGACTAGGACTTTAATCCCAGATTAAAGGGGAACGTAAAGGCATACTAGATTCTAAAGGAAAAAGGCTCTCATGAGTTTTTATTTTTGTTTTTCTTTAGTCTGCCAGCAAGGAATTATTTTCTTACTTATCAGTAAATAGCTTGCCTCGGGAAACCCTATGAACCTGGAGAAAGGATGAAAGTCACACAAGTGTCAAGGACTTTGGTTCATAGAGTCACTATGAGTTGTCTACAACATGATGGAACTTAACAGTAACATCTTCTCAAAGAGTAAAGATGCAAACCTTAAGTTTAATTACATGATTTAAGAAAATGTATTTATATTACCAAGGATATCATGAAGAAAAATTTTAAATTATGAGATAAAAAAATAATACACCTTGAACTAGTATGCAAATACTTGCTATGTTCTGTGAAAACAGTGATTATTAATGGCAAATGTCATGAAAATCAGTATTACGGTCACAGAGCCAAGGGGAAGAAAAGGATGTAAGAGAGTCTTAAATTCTTCGTAATTAAAGCATAGGTTCGCAACTTGCCAGTATAGTAATTCTAGCTTATTCCACACAGGTAGAATTGCAACTATAACCTTGTTGTTCTACCTCTACATCTGTGTGTGTCTCTGTGTGTGTGTGTCAAAACATAGGTCATATGAGAATATCTAAGGGAGAGAAACCAAAGCAGTTAAAATGTCACTCAAGAATAAAATTGTAATCTTTAACATGCAAAAGGAAAAAGACATCTAAGCCCTTTAAAGGTTTGAAGAGAGTAAACAAATATACCTGAGCAATCAGATTAAGTGGGTTTAATATAGAAACTTAAGTTTGATAAAGAGGTTACTTCCTTACTCTAGTATTAGAAATACTCCATAGCAGTAAACAGCTCTAATCTATTAGTGGCTTCAAAAGTCTGTCCAGGAAACTCTACTCTGTCCTACAGGGTTGAAAAGAGTTG